CTAATACAATCCAGGTGTACGAGCCATTTACGCCATCGTTTGCCTAATGAAGATGTGGGTATCAGTCACTAGCTCCGGCGAAGTGGGTAGTATCATCTGCCAGGAAGATCTCAAGATCGAGGCCTATACCGAACAACTAGTCTCCATGTTCAATGCCATTGTCTCCCGCGATGCTCAATCGCCCCATGGAAAGTTCTACTTCGTTGCAAAGCGCCTTCAAGAGCGGTTCGCTCACATCAAAGAGGGTGCTGCTGGCGAGCAACAGACGGATCCCGAATACGACTCCACCCGAAACAACAGTCAAACTTCCCGACCCTCCACGCGCCAATCACCTGCAAACCAAACCCCGCTTCACCTTCTCTCGGAAGTCGCAATGGGTAGCAGCAACAATGTCGCTTCTCAGCAACAGCAGCAGCAGCAGACGCAAGCGCAGGCACAGGCGCAATCTCGTTCTCAACAACAAGCTCAGGCCGCTTTACAGGCCCACGCGCAGCATTCTCAGCAAGCCATGCCAAATTGGTATCCTAACATGAACGCACAGCCTACTCCAGATATGATGGGTCTTGGTGCACAACAACCATTCGATATCAACTTCGATTTCACCCAATTCGATCTAGGCACAGGCTCGGACGCAGATCTGTCAGCACTGTTCATTCCGGACTCAATGGCAATGTGGGGTTACCCTGCCGATCCCAACATGCAGGGTGGTTACAATGGATACTGAGGTGCGCTGCAGTCTACATACGCGTAAAAAATATACATTTGTAACTTTGGGTGTAATGTAGACTTGTGGGTCATTGTATTGTATCGTATGTAAAATCACTATATAGGTAGAAGTACAAAAGCGTGTAACACTACAAGACATACTATACTAGGCGCAAACGATTTACTCAAGCATGAAGCCATTGTTCTCAGCCCCCAATACCGCCCTTACAGTACATCCTGCCGCGCCATGTATCATGTATCATGACTCCAACTTCAAGCCGTTCTTTCTCAAAAACGCCTCCACCCCCGTCAACTCCCCCTTGACCTGCTCCTTCGCCCACTGAACTGTCTCCTTCTGCCCCTTGCCATAATAACCATACTCCCTGTTCAACACGAACATCTCATACAACTGCTCTCGGAACCCCTCCGGGAAAAATCCCTTGACTACCTCATCCGGAAGCTGAACATGCTTGACCGTCTTCCCCGTCACCTTGCTCATGATCTCGGCGACCTCGTCCGGCGTATACAACGCCTCTGCTGCAGCAAAGAGTTTGCCTACATACTTGTCTGGCTCAGCAAGGATAGCCCCAACCCATTTCCCCGTTTCGGTGATGTCGATGTACGGTACAGGAGTGTCGCCCGGCAGGATATCCCCCAATACGAACGTACCATCGTTCGCAGGAGAAGGGCGGGGCTTCATCATGCCCTCGAAATTCTGCATGAAAGACGCTGGAGCAAAGAACGCGCTTTGCACAGGTAAACCGCGGATATACTCCTCGATCTCAGCCTTGTCGTCAAAGTGCTCCACGTTCTTCAGCTTCCCGTTGCTGATCTTGAACGGGTGCGACATTGAGCTGAAGATGATATACTTGACACCCTGCTTGATGGCTTCGCTGCATACGGCGCGTGCTTGGCGTGTTTCGACTTCGCGCGTAAAGCCGGTGTATTGCGTTGTTGTTATCAGGAAGACGTGCGTGCAGCCTGCTAGGGCGGATGGGAGCGTCGTGGGGTCGTCCATGTCGGCTACGGATAGCTCTGCACCGAGAGACCGTAGCTCTTGCATCTTGGGGGATGTGGTAGAGCGCGAGAGGGCGCGGACGTTGTACAAGGCTGATAGGGAGGGGTCGGTGAGGACGGTGCGGGCGACAGAGTTGCCTTGGTTGCCTGTGGCACCGAAGACGGCGATTTTGGACTTGGACATCTTGGACATTCCGTGGTTGGTGGTTGGTGAGGCTGTAAATGATGTCGTGACTGGATTTGAGTGTCGTTGAGGAAGTGATGAGATAGTGATAGGATGTTGGTAGATACAAAACTTGATGATCACCTACCTTATATACCTCTGAACTACTCTGGTCTATCATGTTCATCAGTAATCCTAGTCGGGCCGCGTCTTGAAGCAAGCCACACATATGCGGCCATCATAGAGATTCCGGGTGTAGTCATCGGACTTTACGCTTTAAAACCATCTGAAGTTTTTCGACATTGGGAATCTTCAATACGACAAAGGCCCGTTTTGTAGTACGGCTGGTCCAGTGTATTGAGCCAATAGCATCGCATGTTTACAATGTCCTAGATGTAAGGCAGCCGACGCGAGTGTTGTTGATGCTGGTGTCATGGAGACGGATATCGGATATGTTAAGTTCTCCGACCCGGCTCCGAGCTAGCGCATTTCGAGCTCTTAACTCCACTAAACACCATGCCCAGACCTCTCCCAGCTTCATCTTTCCACATCGCGCATTTCGTCCTGAGCAACAGCGGACAAACTTCGTGCCTATGACGCCAAGTTATCCTTCACTCTAGTCCACCCGCAGGTTCCGACGATGACCTGGCCGTGAAAACGTCTAACCGCCCGTCCTTCATTACGTCATGCGTCTTTGTTCAAAGTTGGCCATGTTAAGTGAAGGACACACTTTCCTTCATTACCTAAGGTATGGTGCGAGTTGCAACGGCGAAGATGAACTCAGCCACCAAGATGATGCAACGGATCGACTCAATGGGTCCGGGCAAATCCTCCTGGGCCAACGGTCGCTCACTAACGCAACAGCAATGGACATGCATATCCCCAATTACTCAACATTTCCATTGACGCATCGGCAGAAAGCGAAAGTCCATTTCAGATCCTCCAGTTGTGTCGAAGTCTGGCTCTCGTCTGACAAATCATGCCGGCCTGACCAACATGACTGGATTCGTACCTTGTGCATAAGACAGGGCAACCTCTCCAGCTTCACGGGAAGGATGTCGGCGATCAAATCCTACAGATCAGATTCCATCAAGATATAATAGTCTCCGCCCAGTGTTCTCATGCAGTCCGTCTCGATTCGTAAAAGGGGGTTGTTAAGGGATTACTCAGACAGGCATGGCCTCTAACACCTCAAGTCCTTCCTAGGTTGGACATTACGACTCATCCTAAGCGAACACCCCGAAACCTTGCAGACCACCAACAATCCAATAAAACCTCGTCGCCCCATTCTTCGGTTGCCGTCAAATGGGGTTGTACCCGCTGATTCCCCTCGGGTTTGGCGACCGCTGCAGGCACGAGACAATAAGGTAATCCCTTTGCATCGGCATCGGGGTTCATCACACTACACTAATGCAAACTGGACTATCCCTTCGATTCTCAATTTCGTTCATAAACAATGGCTATTCACCAAGATGATAGTGGTCGGCGTGGTTCTGTTGGCCGCTTGCGCGATTGTCACAACTCGATTGCGAAACCGGAACGAAATCCACAATTCTACATTCACCTTGTTCCTTCTCCCGTCTATTTGAGTTCAGCGCATACTTCGAAGTCTCGCTTTTCTTCCACGCTCGCTGCGACTTCTCAACTAATCTTAGATCACCCCCACCGACTCCACTGAAGTTCCCGGTTGCGAGACTCGCCTCAAGCAATCACATCATGAGTCGCCAGATCATCGTTGCATCATGCTCGCTTGCTCAGTGGGCTCTGGATTGGGAGGGCAATTCTACCCGTATCAAGCAGAGCATCCGCGAAGCGAGAGCGAAGGGGGCTACATTGCGCGCTGGACCAGAACTGGAAGTAAGTTATCATTTTGTTTATCCCATTTCGAAGGCGCTTTTCCACGCCTGAAACGCTTCTATGGTCATCCACACCTTGAAATTTTGCTATCCATCGGAAATTTGTATTTCACAAGGCTACCTACACAATGAGCGTTGAGCACATTTGCTCTACCATCATTCACGCTAACGAAACTAGATTTGTGGGTACGGCTGTCATGACCACTTCTATGAGGACGAACTATACGCCAATTGCTGGGAAGCACTCATTAGCATCCTCACGGATGAGTGTTGTGACAACATGCTTGTAGACATCGGTATGCCAATCAAGCATCATAATCTCCGGTACATCTGGTAAGTACACTAATTCACTGCTTCGATAATGTACTTACAGCCCATCAGTAGAGTGATAGCATACAACGGTAGAATTGTCTCCATACGTCCGAAAACACCTCTGAGGATTGACGGCAATTATAACGAGTCGAGGTGGTTTACCGCTTGGGATCCCACTATTCCACCCGAAGCATTTCCCCTACCAGACTTCATTGCGGACATGCAGGGCACCAGTGTGGTTCCCTTCGGCAATGCTCTACTATCCACCTCGGGCGCGTCTGTTGGCGCCATTACATCCAACGAGTTGATTGGGCTCGAGGATTTGCTTCCGACAGCCTTGAGCTCGACAAGCGCTGATGTCCTCACGGTCTCGGCAGCCAATCACTTCAGTGTTGGGAACTTCGACTCCCTAGTATCTTCACTGCAGAACATCAGCAGAGATATCGGAGGAGTTATGCTGTACTCGAACCAACATGGCTGCGACGGTGACCAGACTTACTACGACGGTGGCCCGATGATCTTGGTGAACGGCGAAATAGTTTCTCAGGGACCAAGGTTCTCGGTTCACGATATCGAGGTAGTAACAGCTGTCGTCGATCTGGAAGAGGTTCAATCGTATCGAGCAAAACAAGCACTCTCGGAGCCTCTCGATGATCTTACTGCGCCCCGGGTAGACGTGGCATGCAGTTTGTATCGTTCGGAGCTTGCCAGCCTTCGTCCAGATCATCATCATCCTATTGCTCGGGGCCCAAGCTTTCACACTTTGGAAGAAGAGATCGCTATGGGACCAGCGTGTTACCTCTGGGTAAGTTGCGGCTGTACGAACTTGGTATGAGACATACGCTGACTTCGTATTTTCACCTTTTTAGCATTACCTCCGCCGCAGCGAATGCGTCGGCTTTCTAGCGCCACTCAGCGGCGGCATCGACTCGTGCTCAACATCAGTAATGGTGTTAAGTATGTGCTATCTGGTTTTCGACGCGCTTCAAGACGGCAACGAGGTCGCATCAGACATCCAGCGTATCACAGGAGCCAATGACTGGCTGCCCAAGACCCCTCAAGAGCTCTGCAACCGCATCCTGCACACAGTATACATGGGCATGACAGAATGCTCATCCGAAGAGACACGTTCACGAGCTCAACGTCTCGCAGAAGGCATGGGCGCCCACCACATCAGCATGTCCATTGACGCCGTCTACCGAGCCGAGCGAGACCTTCTTCCCCAGTACACAGGCTTCACTCCCGACTTCCGAGGCTCTCCAGCCGAGAATCTCGCCCTACAAAACCTGCAAGCACGTATCCGCTCAACCACAGCATACTACCTCGCCCGTACACTGCCTGTCATCCGCAACCACCCCGGCGGAGGCGGCCTCCTCGTCCTAAGCTCCGTCAACGTGGAAGAATCTCTCAGAGGTAACTTAACAAAGCACGATTGCAGTTCCGCAGACCTCAGCCCCATCGGAAGCATCTCCAAGATCCAACTCCGTTCTTTCATCCGCTGGGCACGCACCGCCTTCACCCTACCCATCTTAGACGAGTTCCTCGACGCAATTCCCCGCGCTGAGCTCGAGCCCGCTAGCTTCGGTTCATGCGACGACAAGGAAAACGGCATGACGCACCAAGAGCTTTTCATCTTTGCCAAGCTGCGCAGTGAAGAGCGACTGGGGCCCTTCGATATGTTCCAGCGTCTGCTGTGTGATTGGCAGGATAGGAAGAGTGCGCGGGAAGTCGGCGATCTGGTGAAGCGGTTCTGGACGTTCTATGGTAATAACAGGCATAAGATGGCGGCTGTGACGCCGGCAGTCCACGCAGCGGGTTACAGTCCTGATAACAGATTTGATCAAAGACCCATGTTGTATCCGCGGTTCGAGAATAGTTGGGCGTTCAAGAGGATTGATGGGGTGGTTGATGAGCTGGAGCGTAGAGTCAAGATGGAAGAAGATGAGGAGATACGCTTTGGGGAAGTGGGCTTTGGAGAGGAACCGCGCGTAAAGGCAAGGCTGTAGACATGGACTCTAGACGATGAGGATTGATTAGATGGAGGCTCTTACATTGTACTTAATCATCTTTATACATGGATTTGCTATCCTACTCGACCCACCTCCCCCTCTCAACATCCAATTGTACACCCTCTTCTTTCAGCGCCCCCTCAAGCGCACCATGCCCCTTCCACCCATGCCCAATTCTCCCCGTACTGCTCAATCTCCCCAAATCCTTTCCGCTTTTCCTCCTGAAATAGGCTTTCTGGTCTTCCGTCGGCCCTTTCTTCTTCCACTGCCCTGTCTTTTTGTTGAACAGATATCCGTTATACCAATCCTCAGTCAGAGCATCTGTTCCATATTCCTCCAGCAACAGTTCCTCATACGCATATGGGACTTTTACGCTTACGCCTTCAAGGGTGGATCGTCGGAGGGGGAAGATCTGGGTGTTGAGGTAGGCGTGGGTGTCTTTGACGTAGAGTAATGTTTCGTCGTCGAAGGCGTCAGGATCGGATTCGTGGGCTGAGGGGTGGGTGCTGGAGTAGGGAGAGTTGGCGATGGAATTCTGTTCCGAGGCGGGTGCGACGTGGAGTGTTGTGATGTCAATGTACAGGCCGTTGTTCACATCGATCCAGCGTATGTCGATGTGGTTGTATATGTCTGACGTGGATTTGTTGGTGTAGTTTGGGTTTACCTCTAGGAGGTATTTCTTGCCCTCTTTCCTAATATCTTCTTCCCAGGCCAGACGCTTCGAGCGCGTCTCTGCATCTTCGTCCTGGTGCTCCAAGCCGTGCAGGATTCCTTTCTGCTTGACCTGATCCTCCTCGTTGTCTGGTGCAAGTTCAAGCCCGAGTTCTCGAGCGTTGAACTGATGAATTGTCATGTTCCACCATGTACCCAATTCTCGTGCGCCGTCCTCTTCTACGAGGAAATCCAAATCTTTATCCCACGGCATCAAGCTCTTACCCCACCACCATCCTAGCAGACACCCATGCATTATCCAAGTTTGTACTCCAATCCTCTCCATCGTGTCCGTGTACGCCTTCAACATGAGCCTGAGATGCCATATACGTTCTTGGAAGGGCACCTCGGATGATGCGAAACGTCCATCGTAGTGGCTATTGAATGTAGATTCGTAAAAGTATTTGGTCGGCGCGTGCGCGTAGGTATGCCCATTGGAAAAGGAGTTGACCAGGGGCGTGAGGCCGCGGAATGAGCGGAAAGGTGTGCTGCGGCGTTCGAGAGGGAGCGAGGTGCCGAGATGTAGGAAGTGCGTGAGCAGAACCCAAAGTTCTACAGAGAGTCTCATCGTGACTGGGGCCTTGTCGGTATGAAGCGCATTGTTCTACCGTCTCGTTATCGCGGTTCGAGGTATTGTGGATCCAATGTCGATGACGCTATAGTGGGAAAAGATGCATGTAGCCAAAGTGAAGCATAACAGCGCAATCGCAGAAGGGCCAAACGAGGTTTACCGACGAGACGACGGAGAGAGGGTCGCAACAACCCGTTATCGTGTTTCTACATGGCGAGCGCAGGAGCCGAATTCGATGATGGGCCGACGCGCAGAGCCAAGGACGATCAAGCACGCGCCAAGACCTCTCACTCGCCCACGCTGCCGGCCTCAATGTTCTAGCCCGCATGGATTTCCTGAGCCTAATCGGCTAGCGTGTCATTCACAGCTGCTGTGAATGTGGAGCTCGTTCAAGCCGATTGCGCGTTCGCAGTCTCGTTGTTACTAGAGGCGGCTGCTCAAGCTGCATCCTGTGTCGTATGGTGTCGTTGCTATCTGAGGCTAAGGGAGTGCAAGTGCGGGCCAGCCACGTGAAAACGAAGTCTGGCAGGCTAGAGTACGCGTCCTCTAGGCCGGCACCGCACGTGCGATGCCGCATCGTAACCACACTTCTCGCTAGATATGGCGTACGAGACATTGATCGAAACACATCTTTTCGGCGCTGGCAGTAGCATGGCACAGGATCCTCGTACAAAAACTTGATTGTGTTATCACGCGCTATCAACCCAGTCGATCATCCCCGCTCTACCACTCAATGATGTGCAGGCACGATCCGGCGCGCTATTAGCTGGCGAAAGTGCGCTTCGGTCCGCCAAGAGACTCGGGTCCAGAGGAGGAAGACTCCATTGTTCTGTTATGGTAACGCTAATGTACGATCTTGAGAGCTGCATAAGGGTATGAAGCTTATAGTCAACTACGTCGTCATCACGGTCGATCAATATGTTCAGGTATCAAGGTATATGCGGGGTAAATGGTGAGTAACTACCCACAAGTGCAGTTCACGAGATGAGGACCATATTATGTGATTATCTGTATTGCATTTCATAGTTCTACAACCACAACAAGTGACCAGCTTTAGGTTGGTTTATACCATAGGAATAAGGACCCAAACACAAGTTTCCCGTCATCTACACATATCCACATGCGGCACCTCCAAACGTCCTGGTGAAGCTGGGCAAGGAAGAGACAATCTCGATCCCAGACCAGCCTGCCAACAATTTGATAGGGTTCCATCGCTCAGATCCAAACAGGCCCACTGAAAGAACGGACGCCGTTGAGTACGGCTAATTACACTTTCCACCGCTTTTGTTCGTGTGAAGTAAGTATACATTGAGAAAAATAAGACAATCCGGTGCTCGTGTACGCAATGCCGGAGAGACGAAATGGAAAGACAAGCTAAGAACTGTATGTTCATTCATAAGTAAAAACGCCGTGATACGCCGCCCGATGTTGAAACGCCACAATGGGAGAGTGAGCGCTGAATATGCGAAAGTCAGAAAATGAGGGAAGGAGAATCTATCAACAAGCACGTCTGCGGCGCCGGCAAACAGAGCGACAAACAAGGAAACCCAGAAAGCCAGCAATTAAAGGGGTATATTTGCGAAGCGTGGAAAGTCACTCAGATCCTTTTTCGTATTTGACGGGGTGGAAGAGCGTATTGCGCATGCATAACCGGCCGGTGCCGGCTTCCTCTTCTTGTGGGCCACCCTTGTCGTTCTCGCGAGAGCCGAGCCACCTTCGCCACCACTCGGATGAGAAGCCAGCATTGTAGTAAAAGCTGTTGCCGAGCTGGTTATGCTCACCCCAGCCGAAAACGCTGTCGGTCGGCTTAGGGGGCTTGTTGAAGGTGCCATCGAGGGCTTCGAGTGGCCAGTTGTGATCAAAGTACACGGGGTGTGCAGCATAGACGGCCTTGAGACCGTGGTGGAAAGCGACTGTTGGAGGCCACATTTCAGGGAACATATGGTGCTTCATGAGGTATGTCTCGCGATGCATAAGATCCAACAGGCGTTTCGACAGACGCGAAACAGTAATGATAGCGCATCTCCGCGGGGGTTCCGGGAGCTCGAGATCGTAACCTGTGACGTCGTCGCGGAAAACCCAGTTGGTCTTGGCCGGATCAAAGATTGGGTTGAATGTGATGATGTCGGCATCCTCGCCAACACCCCACTCATAGTTGTCTTGCGAGTACGAGTGTGGGGGCTCGGTCTCGGGAGGGCTGGGAAGCATGCCGGTGTTTTCGAATTTGGGTGGGCCCCAGACAGGCTTCTCGTCGCTGTTGTAGAGCTCCTCCTCAACCATCTCGGTGAAGTTCTTCCAGGATCCGTGGAGCTCAGGAATGTAGTAGCGAGATGATCGCTCCCACAAACCTTTGCGAGGCTGCTTCTTGGCCCACTCGCCAATCTTGTTGTGGAACTCGTAGTAGTGGCCGCTGAGACGGAGATCCATCTCCCAGTTCCAGTAGAAGTCGTACTCTGGGCGAGCTTGCGCGAACCATTGCATTGCGAAGTGGGCGCTGCGGTAGACAGAGTGGACGGGGGCCTTGGCGTGGTTGTAGACGTTGTTGGGGAACGGCTCTGGGTAGTACATGCGCATTTGCTGCTCGGACCAGAGGGTCGCCATGCCCCAGAACTCTTTGGGTAGGTTGTCTTCGATGACCTTTTGGTAGATCTCTTCTGAGGACCAGATAGGGAGGCTATCGTCCTTGACGTGGAGGAGGAAGTGCACATCGTACTCGCCTCCGGACTTCAGCGCGAGCTCGTTGATCATGGCGCGCAGAGTGAGGATCTGGTAGTCACTGTACTTGTAGCCGGTCCAGGTACGGAGAACGTAGGCGTGGCGTGGCACCTTCTTCTTGGCGGGTGCAGTCTCTTCGGCGGTGGTGTTCTTCTTGAAGCGGTGGGCGTTCTTCTCGCGGCATCGCTTCATGGCGGACGCCCAGTTCACCTTGCGGTAGTCGACCTTCTTCTCGTAGCTCCAGAGCTTATCGGCACCGCCCTTCTCAGACTTGCCGTCCATGTCAAGGCCGCCCTCGTCGCGAGAGTACGAGTAGCCGTAGGGGCCGAGACGACCGAAGCGCTCGAAACACTTCTTGTCGTCAAAGCCAATCTCCTCGTATGAACCAAAGAAGGGCGCAGTCATGTTCTGGGGGATGCCGGGGTAAGCGTAGATGTCGGGGAGGTCAATCTTCTCTTCCTCGTCGAGGTAGCAGGTCTTGACTTCATCGTGCTCCTTGAGGTACTCGGGCGAGTCAAACTTGTATGGGTCGAATGGCTGTAGCTCCAGCGGCGGCTCCTTGTCCTCCTTGGACATGTGCGGCCACTTGGGCTTGATGTTGTCTTCCGGGTTGGGGCTTTGCGAGTACTTGACAAAGTCCTGCTCTGACACCCAGTCGCCATAGGGAACAAGCGTACGAACGCCGTTGAAAAAGCCATTTAACCTGACCAGTTAGCGTGCGAAGGGTTGAGTTGTGACTGGATGCTTACCGAGGGTAGTGTTCCCAGTGGTACTGTTTCCGCTCATCGCCTGTCCGTTGCTGTGCGTTCCACCTGTGTCTCCTGTAGATACCCGTGCCGAGCATCGAGGCCAGCAGCACTATCGTCACGGCGAGAGTGATGAGACGCGCGAACGAGAGTCGTGGGCGCTGCAGGCGGTTGGCCCAGGCGGGCTGGCGGTACTTGTTGCCCCATGACTTGCTGCTGAAGAGCGGCAGCGGTGACGAGGCCTGGCTGTCCTG